AGAAACGTCATCCAGCGCTTCCAGAATAAAGTACTTCGTAGTATCGTTGATGCACCATGGTACATAAGAAATGAAAATCTACATAAAGACTTGGGTGTAGAAACAGTAGATAACGTCATCAAAAAGTATGCACAGAATCACGAACAGCGACTCCATCAGCACGTGAATCCTGAGGCACTCAAGCTCCTGGATAATGCGGAAATACAGAGAAGACTCAAAAGAACTAAACCATTCGAACTGGTTTAGAAAGCAAGAATTTGTGAGAGAGTACATGTCAAACCGATGTACTATAATATTACGGACAGAGTGACTATCGGAGGATGTGTGTGCTTTGTGTTTTTTAAAGTAGTAGATTAAGTTAAAGACAAATGGCTTATTAGTATACTGTACTAGATTGCTATAATAATAAAAAAAAAATGTTTTCTCAAGTCATGGAATCGCTTGAAAACATTTTTGCACTCATCACGACCACTAAAATCGGAAATAACGGAATCGATATTTCGCGAACAATTTGGTAAAAGGTGTGAGTATGAAAATAGATATACAGGGTAGTGTCCCGTAAGCACATGATCGAAAGGGTACTGTGATATTCTTTGGATCAAAAGAAGACCATCTAGCATAACCATCTAACTAAAAAAAAAATATCTTTTTTGAAATATCAGGACAATGGGACGATGCATTTTAGTAAAACTCGCTGTGAATTTGTTCTTATAAAAGACTCATATTTTGAGGTCGAGTTTAGGACATCGACGTTTTGGACAAGTGGTGAAATCTTGAGTGTCGTATAAAAACTACCAGAACGTTTTATTTGGTGGGTGGAATTAACTAATTTTTTTTGGTTGATACACTAATTATTCATTCACATTTTGTGCTCTTTGTAAAATCTTGTAAATAGCATTCATAGTTGTTGCGCAAACAAAATCTGTTTTCTTGTCACTTAACAATGTTAGACATTAAATTTTAAAAAAATTACAAAAGATGATCATATGCCCATTTCGTTATTGCATAGATAGATGCATAATTCTGATCCTGAACGGGACAAATTCACAGCGAGTTTCATTAAAATACATCGTACCATTTTCCCGATGTTTCAAAAAAGATAAATTTTTTGAAGAACTTTGACCATCTATAGCAGAAGAGCCTGACATTTTTTGATAATAAAAGTTAGGTCAGATCGTCCTTTTTTGATCCAAAGAATATCGCAGTACCCTTTTGATCGTATGCTTACGGAACACCCTGTACATTTGCACGTTATCCCAAGGATAAAAATCAGCAACACAAAACCAAACAAAATTTTAGTATATTCCAGTAGCGTAATGGCAGTCTTGGCATTGCGGGAACACCTTGGACTGCAGAGTAGCCGTTGGGACCTAGGCTTTGTTCTAGAGCAGTAATTCCGATTTCAAATTGACAATGAAATTGTTGAATTTTCTATTTCTATTTTATTGATATATTTGTGCCACCAGGTCTTGACGGATACATTACCAAATATAAACACGACCGAAGATTGGGCTGCAGCATTTGGGTTTACGGGCCAAACATCCAGAGATCAGGAATTGTTACAACAGAAACTGCAACAAAGAGATATGAGTAAATTCGCGAGTTTCTTAAACACCGAAGCACCCGAACCGGCTTTTGGAAAAGGTAGGGGCATTTTTCAAATTTAAATTGGATATTCAACGATATGAATTTGAAGAGACTTTTGTAAATTAGGAAACGAACTGCAAAGCGAGTTTAACTATGTATTAATGTGGTTTTATCAGGTGTTGAAAACTTAAATGGCTTCTATGAATTGGCTAAGTTTCAAGAGAATCTAATGGATGCCTTAGCAACTAAAGCAAATGGATTCAAGGTTAGACCACAGGACCCCACTACTCAACAATCTCAAATTCATATTTCAAATGGGTTAGAAATGTCGAAATTCTTTAGTGATTACCATAAATTCAGTGCAAAGGTAAATTTTGCTGTTACATCATAATACATTTTCCACGAATTTTAATCATAAACATGTAATAATTGTATTAGTTTAAAGAGGGCTATCATTAAATTACTTTTTGATTTATTAGGAGCAATCAAGTCCCTCATCGCCCTATCAAAATGGATATTCTAATGGTGTACATAGTAGTTATCCACAATTTCTACATCAGAAACATCTAGAAGAGCAATTTAGGAATCTCGCGTTGAAGCAGAATACATTCAGTGGAGCACAAACGGTAAATATACAAGATTAACTAATTATAATATTTTTATAGCTTTATTGTATGGTTTTAGACCTTATATCAAAATAGTATTCCGACACCAACTTATTTAAATGGAGATGCATCTCTTGTGAACGGCGGAGTTAGTTCTATGCAAAATTTGTATTCAAAAACACAGGTCAGTGCAATGTTTTTGTTTGTTATACTTACTTTTTTAATATTCCAAAAAAGTAGTACATACTATGTATCACTGAATTAGGATACTGCAACTTTGTAATTTTATTGATCCGGATTATTAGTGACCGTGATGGTAATTGGTAAAAGATGCCTATTTAGGTTATTGGGTTTATCGTTGAATAGATCGAGGCAGAAAACAAAACACGATTTTTGTTCGGCCAGCCTTTCACCTTTATTTAAGCCGTCTTTAGGTCTCTTAAAGGGAAAACATTTCGGTTTCAGTCCTAAATACCGGGTGGTTTTTGTTAACTTGAAACGCTTATATATATATCGGTTATTAGTGATTCTATCAAAGAATGTGTCAAATAAGATAGGCCTGGGTAATACTGTGTCTTAAGACACTTGTGTTGATGCCGCTCTGTGTGTCTATGTGCCGCGATACCTTACCCCTTTCTTAGCCCCTTACGACGCGTCACCTTCAACAACACTTACATTTAATCTCATTCAAGATGGCAGACTTCGGATTGCAGTTCTTGAAGGCCACGCGCAGTTACCATATGGTTTCTGACCCTCTCGGCAGGGATTATTTTACATTATAAAGCCGCACGAGCGAAAATGCTCAAACTGCTTAGCTACTGATTACTGATGAATTCTTATTTATCTCGGTTCGATATGACTCGCATAGGATGCTGGTCGCAGGTACCAGTACAACATCTGGGATTTCGATATTTCCACAAAGCAAAAAGGCAAATGCCTGCCTTTTGATTACTACCAGATTGCATGAAAATCAGTCGGCAAGGAAGGCCAAGAAACTAATTTACATGGTTTTGTCAGCGCTTGCATACATAAAGGGACAAAATTCATTCAGTCATATTTTATGGCTGACCCAGCAGCTTCGAAACCAATCACAGATGGTGAAACAAATATGGTTTACAAGAAGCAAACATGCTGCTACTTCATTCATTCCTTGCATTAAAACAACGCAACCAGCGTCTGTCATAGTCTCTCTTCAGTAAAACAAAAAAAAAACATTGAACGCGCTGCACCGCTAGCGAACTTACGAACCACTAGATATCACGGCACAGCGTCTTCTGTATTTATTTCCCAACATATAAAAAGTGTGGCGCGCTGTGTCGCTGTCTCAATAGGCCAAGCCATATCGGTGTCGCTGTGTGAACACCTGAAAATCCACTGTGCTACCCAGGCCTAAAATTAGAAGTTAATATCTGAGAGGGGAAGTTTATTCCCGTTAGGAAAAAAACGTCCACTTCGACCTTGTAGGCTAGGCAGGGGCCAACTTGATCTTTTCAAACAGTAACCACATCATTTTACTACAGATTCGAGTAGTAGGTCAAAAAGTGAGAATGTTTTATTAAAAACATTTTCTTCTATTGGACAGGGCACTCTATGGGCCCAAATAAGAAAAATTGGGTCAAGATCTTTTTTTTAAATGTTGGTAGACTGATACACATTATTGACAATTCCGCAATGTAAACGCCCACACGTGGGTATTACCTTAAAGATCCTCAAAATTTGAATTTTATCCACATATCAATAAATATATGGCAATGGAATTATTTGAGAGTGAACACTTAAAGTGCATATCATGATTTCTAGCGCCTAATTTGATTTTCTCGTTGCCATAAGCAACTATCATAATCTCGAAAAGGTATTCTTCATTTATAACATCACAGCTGGCGCATATGGAAAGTTTGAATATAGAGGACCTGAACGCACTTCCTATGCAAATTCTATTAAAACCGCAGTAAAAGAATGCCAGACACAAAGCACCCAACGAAACGACTCAGTACCAGCACTACAAAACTAATGGAAAGGAGAAGAAATCTGACCAATAAACGTATAACAAACCCAACAGAATTAAGACGCCTAAATAGAGAAATATCCAAGGCAGTGGGAAGGGACACACGAACATACAACACTATGGAAGTCACTCTCCAAAGGCAGGAAAAACATCTGCAAGCTAGCAAAACAGAGCGGCCAAATAATAACGAATAAAATGGAAATATTAAAGGACTTCTACGCGACACAAAAATTCGATCTATATCAACCCCGCGAGCAAGCTGGTTTTCGAAATGCATTTGACACTAATGGCGATCTACAAATAGTCAAGTCCTTTATCGAAAAATACATCAAATATAATAAATACATTTTATTTTATCTAAATTTGTGGTGGCAGCCCTGTACGATTTTAATATACGCTATTAAAAATTCTGAAAAAAAATTGGCGTTGTTTCTAAGATGTCAGTTGTCCTATACATTCGAGTGTTCCTACACATACAATATTTCGACGCCTACCAAAAATAATCAACATTTTTCAAAATATTTCAACAATTTCAATAATTTTGAAAAAATTGCGAATTTGTAGGAGAACTGACATCTTAGAGACAACTCCAACTTTTTTTCAATAATTTTTATTAGCGAATGTTTATCAGGAATCGTATATTAAAATCGTGTAGGGCTGCCACTACAAATTTGGAGAAAATAAAAAACTGCGGAGTTACCGGTTTTTCAAGCGGGTCGTGAGTTAGCTGCTTCTTGAACCGGACTGCGAGATAGCAGGTTATTCGCCTCAGCCGCCGAAATGTTCAAACGAGCCAACTTTGATGACATGGGCATAAACATAGAGAACGAAAAGATAAATAATCTGAGATTCGCCGACAATATCTTAATTATGGTAGCTAGGGGGAGCATCAAACTCTGTTGGACTCAAAATTAACACCAACAAAACTTAGTACATGACAAATCTTGTTATGAGTGAGGCAGACCAAGCATAGAGCAAGTAAGCTCTTACGTACCTTGGTCACGAAATCTCTATTGGTTGAGACAACCAAACCCATCTAACATGGGCGGACTTTGGAAAGTTGCGCAATATCTTTAAGTCAGACATCCCAATATGCTTAAAAAGAAAAGTGTATAAGTAAAAGTTATAATACTTTATATGCTCAAAAAAATAAAATAAAAAAAAAACAGAAAATCAAATTAGACGCGAGAAATCATGATGTGCACTTCAAGTGTTGACTCAAATAAGTCTCCCATATACATATACCCATTGATATGTGGATAAAACTAGATTTCTGGGATATTTGAGGTTATACCCATGTGTTCCATTAATCTGTATCAGTCTACCAACATTACAAAGTCGTAACCTGTAAGTCATTTCTAAGAGGCGCATTTTATTTTGACACAATTTTTCTTACTTCGTAGTGCGTCACCTGTCACGTCAAAATCCAGAAAGAACAAAAGAAAATTTTTCAGGTACAACATTCTGACTTGACATACTACTCGAATCTGCAGTAAAATAGTATGGTTACTTTTTGACATTTTTCTCAAAGTTTGCCTTTGCGTAGTCTACAAGGTCGAAGTCAGTTATTTTCAGACACCAATAATTTTCCTCCTCTTAGATATTTACTTCTTATTTGACACATTTTTTTGGTGCACAGAAATGACTAATGTTTATTGATTTCCTGACATATTTGCACAGACTGTTTAAGCCAGAGACAAAGAATAGTGAGACGAGAGGTTCCCATGTTAACGTTGAAAACAATCATCGAATGTTCCAACCTTATAGATTATGCTTTTTAAATACATAGAATATACATATTTTGTGATATAAAAACAAACTAGGTATTTCTGATGAAAGTTAATTTATTAAATATAACAGTAAACATACATGAAAATTTCAAATTAGAAAGTGCAATAAATTCAGTTATGTTGCCTGGTAGACTAGCTGGCGAGTATGTAATTGTTTTTGAAAGTTACCTGTAAAAAATGCATTAGTTAACTCAGATATAGTATAATAGAGTAGTTAAGTATTTAATTACAGTAACTAGGCGTGTATTCAAATTACTGAGCCAAATTTCTCACCCTGCTTCATCTAATGGGAAGCTGAAAAATGTTCTTTCTCGCTATACACAAAATATTTACTATTGCACAAGAGATATTAATACTTACATCTTGCTGTGCACCTAGATATTTACAGGATCAATACCCCAATCAATCATCAAAAGAAAACCCACTAATCAGGAATTTTTTTTTATAGAAAAGCAGTATTATCTTTCAAAATTCATACTTAACCTATGTATTTATTTATTTATGCTACGAGTCAAAGAACGGAACAATTTAAATATAAAATAATTATTATACACTTCTTAATTTACTTATATTATATTATTTCCGATTATTTACACCTATTAGAAAACTAGAATGTATTATTCATAATGCTCGGTGTAATCTGCCAATGCATGCGCAGAAATCAATCTACCTGTTCCCAGCCCCGCGCATTTAATGCTGATTCCTGATTGATAGTCTTCCCCTCCCTTGTCTCCGGTTTAAGCAAAGCGCTATTTTATAATATTTATAATTATTTATTTTTCATGAACAGGGCGTTTCACAGCAACCTCCTAATAATTCAAGAAATTCAGAAGCAGAACTGGATTTCGATCCCTTCCAGGTCACACAAAAAGGATTTGCGGAAATTATGGCAACAGAGCAAAATATCAAACAACATAATTCGGGACTCAGTACAGGTAATTGTCTTTTGTTACTTGATTATGGGAATATTTATTACCAAATACTATAATATCGAATAAAATATCCAGAAACTAGCGATTGAATCTGGTAATTTATCCATTTATCCTGTATACAGGGTGATACGTATACCACATTAGAAGTTTCCCAACTTTCAGTTGGTTTAGAAACGTCAAATTTTGTTTGCTGTCATAACGAGTCGTGCCAAAGCTATGTAAAATACATTTAGCCCTCCAACTATACAGGGTATACGAAAAGTATAACCTAACTTTCTTGTTTTAAAGACAAACTCCTGATTTTTTTGCATGATTGGATTGACCTTCCAATTGTGAGTTTGGGCAACCCTAGTTTTGTTAATCTCTTGTAGTTTTTGATTGACGCCAATTGTTTTAAAAAAATACCATGATATACAGGGTGATTCAAAATTGGCGTCATTCATCTGGAGGTGTTGTCTGGCGCTGTTATAGAAGTACAGAAAAAATAGTAAAATAAATTAATTGTTATTAAAAACTGAGAAATTTGCAAAGAACTATATCAGAAATACGGCAGCAATGTTTTTCAAGGTAATCTGCCTAATTTACATTGCGCAAATACCTGTTGCTTCGTCATTATTTAAAACTCCGGTAACCATGGAATTATACAGAGTGACGATAAGATAGACAAGGATAAACGGTAAATTCAACAGGAGACGTTGAATGACGGAACCTATTTCGAAATGTCAACCTGTTCTCATAACCTCGAATATTGGTGTTTATAAATCAACCATACGACATCAAACATTTGAATGGTTAACTCCAAACAAGCTAGTGCCTGTGTAATCTGCTTATTATCCTTTCTTATTAAGCAGCTTCTCGTATTCAGTTAATTAGCTGCTGCTCCATTTGTATCTCCTTGTGCTGTGTGTATCGTACAAACGTGCCCCTTCCTCGGTATTTATTTTGTGCTTGGGAAAGTGTCAGTTATTGTGCTCTGAGTGGCCCTGATTCGATTATGTCCAATACTTGTTCCCCTCAAAAAATTGTAGGGAGCCTCTATCACCCCTTAAAAGGAATGATGCCAATTTTGAATCACCCTGTATATTTACGGAACGATCTGCAGGGTGTCCCTGAAATGACCGTACAACGTTTAACCACAAATTCCTTACCCAAAAATAAGACTATCTCTGAAGAATAACAACGGCAAACTTACCTCTATCCAACATGTTGCTTCATTTTGCTGCTACAGGGCGCCAAAGTTCTCAAATTAATATGGCTTCCAATTAATTTCTAAACGCTCGATCGAGATCTAAACGAGATCGATTTTCATTAATTTTGGAGCCAACATATAAGTAATGGAGTCATATTTTCATTAGACCTACAGGTGCTGGACAAATAATTATTTACAAAATCTTGCGATTCAGATGTTTAATAATTCAGAACGAAAAAAATACATAAGATGGTATTAATTCTAAATAATTGAACTAACTTAAATATTGTAATAAATATTCAGTTTAATTCGCGAAGTGCATTTGAGAAAAATCTGTTGGTCACGTCGAACTTTTAATCTTTATTTTGTTAGAAAGGGAGAAAAAGAACAGTTCCTTTAAAAAAATTCTAATACAATTTACCTACCATTTTTTCCCACTGATTGGGCTATTTTTCACGATACGTTTTCTTTTACAGCAAAAATTTTATAATTTTCATATTCGTCAGTATTTGTACAGAGGGTAACAAAAATACGAACATTTATTACCGGCCCAAGCACTATTTTTAATTTTCTATGCACTAAACAAAAGATCACGCTTACGTCAAAACACATCAATTTAAGTAGTAATTGTTCCGATTCCAAAATTGGCGAAAATCAATGAGCGTTTAGAAATTATTTGAAAAAAAAAACGATATTAATTTAAGAACTTTGGCGTCCTGTCGCGGCAAAATGAAGCAGAATTTGGTATACGTAAGTTTGTTTAGATCGTCTTATTTTCAGTTAAGGAATTTGTGGTTGTGGTTGCGCAGTAATTTCAGGGACACCTTATATATCTAGGAAACGGCTCTAAATTGAAAACCCAAATTTGGTAGGTCGTTAGCTGAAGACCCAAGCTAACTCCCCAGATGACATTAGAGCACCCAGAATCAGTTTTTTGTTAAATTGCACCTACTTGCAAACTTTGTTGGTCCTGTTTAGTTTAGCTTGTCTACACATTTTGTATGGTATTCGTTTTATATGGGTTACTCTTGAATATTCGTCTATTCGTTTTAGGACGGTCAAACCAGATGAATGGGTTAGTTCATAGTCAAAATAACACACACATACCCCCACCTCCACCTGGATTTTTACAGCAGCAGCAGGCACATATGAATTCATTCGGTAAGTGAACTAGTTAAGAGTTTAATTTTCTCATGTCGATCAAAATTGATGTTCTTTTCATTTGCAGGTAGTAAAATTTTGCCCTTCCTTAGTATGTCCAATAGTCAACAACAATTAAATAATGCCGCAAGCAATTGGCCTAATAGCTTTAACTCGCAGCTGCAAGAACCTAAAAGTAAGCACATATCAAGTTTGTATCATATTACTTCGATGAATATTGCGAATATGAATAATTACGGCACAGTTCAGTCAGAAGAAAGACTTCTATAAATTTATTTTCAGATGTTTCAAATACATGCAATGATTGGAAAGTATTAGATCCGGCAATTCTAAGCTCCAGCAGAAGCTACCAGCTCCCAACAGTTCCACCAGTTCCAGATGCATACAATATTCCTCCTTTAGCAAACCAACAAATTACACACAACAGTCAGCTGAGATCATATGATTATCCACCTAGCAACAACCCGTTTTCTACATTCGCACAGCAACCCAACTATAATTCCTTCACACAATTGAACACACCTCAGAACGTAAATAATTTAAATTGGTTTACTGCCAACGACATAAACTCACAAATTTCAAGCCCACCGGGCTTCAGAAACAACCAGACTTCCAAGCAGCAAGAGTGTTAGATTGGATAGCTAGTTGTATATGGATCGCGTTTATTTGACGCCATAGATATTGAATTATAGAAATAAAAATGCCCATTTTAGTTAATATTGTGCAATATAATTTTTCTTTTTTTTAGTTTCTTCCTGGTAAAAACTTCATTACTTTTAGTGTGGCACTAATTGCGCAGTTTTGTGGCATAGTGGCATATTTATTTAAAATCTGTATGTTGTCACCATACATAAAATAGCACAGTTCGAGGCCATGCTGGTGGTACTTTAAAGAATCAAATTGATGTGCGTAAACGCGTCGTTTTGAAAATAACTTATAGTGGACTTTAATCGACTTCTTATTTATCCAACATGAACTCGATCCACTACCTCCGATTTAAACGAAATATATATGTTAATATTGATACATGACTTTAATATGTAAATTAGTGAATTGTTTTGGCAAAATATTTATCTTTATTAAAACGCGATAATTTCAATCAAAGATAAATATTGGTCTGTTACATAAGCCACAAGAGTATTTCTATTTGATTCCTTAATTTTTCCTTTGGTATTAATGTGCATATTTGGGTTGGTATAAGATAAATGTCGATCCATAACAAGCACTAGAATTGTTAATTGCTACGTACGATTTATTTCATTTGAACGTAAGTAAATAATATGTAAACGCGGGTGCTTGGCCACAAGAAATTAAACTAATATTCTATCCATTTCAGTATATTGAAAATAAAACAGCTAATTATAATGTATTGCAGTATTCTCTTGTGTTTTACTTAGCCTAATCATGAGGCATAAAACTGCGGTTTATTCATAATATTACGCAATCCTTTTACGTTTTACGTTGTACTGGGTGTTTTTTTAACTTGCAACGTTTAAATATTTCTGAAATTAGTGATCCTGCGAAAAAAAGGGACAAATAAGAAGTTAATATCTGAGAGGGGAAAGTTTACTCGTTCACTTAACAATATTTCTGTCATTTTTATACATTTTAATGGTTTATGCACATTTGGGCAACGCTGTCGGAATCGGAAAACGTTTAAACCCATACTTTATACCTAATGGTAAATGTTTGATAAACTTTATAATTATTAAGTGACACAGTGACTAAGAAAACTAATAGTGTAGACAGACAATAATAACAACGAGTATTTACCTATGCATTCATATCTAGATTTCCGAAAAATGACTTCAGTGGAAAAAAGTATGTGGATTTAGGAAAGAAAATAAAGTCGACACGTCCAAGCATAGACGTGCCAAATCCCATAATACAGCCAGTGTCAAGTATCTCTTCTGATTCACAAAAGAAAACAATTCATATTGTTGCTACGAATTTTTTGTTTTTATTGGTAATTTTCTTGTAGATGCACTATGCTCTTTCGATGTCAAAAATTTGCTTAGCTTATAGTTAAGTCCTTTACTAACACTTTCTTAGTAATATTTCTTGTGCAAATTCGTTGATTTTTTCAAGCTAACCAACCCCTTCCACCAGAATTTTTCATCTTTGGGGAGTCAAAACTCGTCAAAACAAAAAATGATGACAAAACTTGCAAGTTTTTTATTCAATTCAATCACATTCACTTTTGTTACAATTGCAACTATCACTTTTCGCTTGTTTACCAACTCCTATAGATAGAAGTCACAATTGTCACTCGGCAACGAGTAATTTGACGTTTCGCAGCGCCCCCATCGGTAGTTGAACTCGCGAATTTTGTTTGTGTAAGTTGCATAATTTGCATGCAATTTGCGCTAGTTAAAACAATCGTGTTTTGCTTGTGGCAACATCAGCGAAAGCAGAAGAATAGGTCATTAAAACGACTTTGTGGCTGAACGTAACAAAGTTATAATTTACAAATTAACTAAGTAGGCAAACTTTAAATTATGGTCAATAGTTGTTACTTTCGAATGAACATACTTTACAGTGACAGGTTCAATTTGTCAAATTTACTTTTGCGCACAATGTGCGTAATAAAAAATCTTCACGAAGACACCCAGTGTTCTAAGACCTGGTTCGTGTTGGATTTTTACCAACTCAAAAACCCCCATTTATGTACTACGAGTTTTCGTTTAAAACTTGTAGTCCTCTGAGAAGAATTTGTTAGCTCCTGCATCCGTATGCCATAGCAGTTAGCTCCTGGCATCCGTATGCCATAGAGTGTTTTGTTGCAAAGCAGTTTGGCGAACCAAAGAGCGATATTTTAAAACCAAAAAAAATTCTGATGTAAATGGCTCCAGAGTAGTGATGCCATACTAGAGAATTTTTTCCTAGTTCTAGGAATTTTTCTCAGGCAAAAGGAAAAGGGATTTGTTATAATTATCTTGGGTTTTTTTTAATTTTTCGTTCATCTGCAAAAAGATTAATTCTCGGAAGAAAATATTAATACATCGGACTAGAGAAGGTTAACAAGTAGAAAGTAGTGATGCCCTAATAGGGACATTTTCGCTAATTCTGGTGATTTTTCTCAGACAAGAGATTTGTTATAATCATGTAAGGATTATTAAGATTTTTATCTGCAAAAAAAGTTAATTCTGGTACGAAAATATTAAAATATCGAACTACAGATTGCTAACAAGTAGACAGGAACGACAATTTGTTTTAAGAAATCTCGATTAATTAAGAATCTCTCCTTTAAGGCCTATCTTAATTTCTCGGAAATAATCTTTACTGGGATGCAAAAATAAATACACCTGCAGTGAGTGTGATTTTCAACTGCCCCATCTACATATAGACTTTGTCAAATAACTATTTAAATTAAAGGTTAAATTTAAAATAAGAAGTAAAATTATGAGTGCTTTTAAAGAAATAGAAACAAATCGAAAAGTGCGTAAGTATTGTTTTATGTTATAAATGTCATCAACTCCAATAAATAAACAAGTCTGATAAGTCTCAGCTGTCACTCGACAACGAGTAATATGTCGTTGCGCAGCGCCACCATCGGTAGTTGAAATCGCAAATAGGAAATTTGGATTTGTCGATCTAAAAACCTCCCAAACACAAATTTTATTTACATTTTATACTTGCACACTTTAAAATGTTTCTATTTGTTTAAAGACTTGTAAACGCTGATTCGAACTAAACAAAACAAATTCCAATAACATCTAATCAAAATATGTGTCAAATGTTACTATATAGTTCAGTATAGTTATAATTTAGCCGTCAGTGGGCGTTTGAACTTTTTAACATGATCGCGAGTTCAAACAATCACGCGGGGCGCTGCAACACGTCAAATTACTCGTTGCCGAATGACAGTTGAGACTTGTCAAACTTGTCTATCTATTGGGGTTGGTAAACAAGCAAAAAGTGAGAGTTGCGATTGCTAAAATGAATGGAAATGAATTGAATGAAAAAAAAAACTGAAATTAAAAGCTTGCAAAAGTTCATTAGAACAAAACAAATCTCAAATTACTAGTTAACTTGTAGTTATCATTTTAGCCACCAGGGGGCGTTTGCACTTTTGAACTCGCGAATAGTTCAAACTCCCACTGGCAAAAATATTTGAAAGTCGTCTTTTCCTGTTGAATTAGGCCTCCAATGTCATCCTGACATTCCCAGGCTATTCAAATTATATTTAATAAATATAAGTAATAAATTTAAAATAGTAATACAATATAATAGAAATAAAATTAAACCACATTTACTTTGTTTACTCAGGAAATATTTATCAAAGTTACACTCGTTTATCAAAATAACCAGATAATTATGAAGCACTTGTGCAATTACCCCCGATATTTTTTTTTATATTCACACAACTTCAACATAAATTAGATGCTCTCACCTTTCGCTAAATTGGAAGCAAATGATTTGGACATCTTTATGTTCGATAGAAGCAAACGAATGTAAAGAGATTGTTGTGTTAATTGAAAATAACTGATTTATTATTCGGTTACGCGATATACTTTTAAAACACCCGCATTTACATGCTTAGAGAGCAGTAGCAAACTAATTCCCATCTTTTATTGCGCCATCTCTATCTCATATCCATTGTTATATCACACCGTTCACCGAAGTATCCTGAACGTTTGTCGATACTTGATGCATAGAGCGCACCAATCCAGCTCAGTTCAAATTGAAGCAGATGTTATTGTGCGCTCTTTTCAGCAAGTGGAAATTGAGCAAACATCGACAATGACAGAGCTACAAATCGAAACATATACGAGGGTTAAGCAATTGTGTTTCCGTAAAATTGATGGCCGAATGGCGTCCATTAGTTAGTGCGCGGCAGCCATTGTGGTTAACAGTGGCCATTTTTGTTCGTCCATCTTTTATTATAAACAACTTTGGGAATTATGGCGGACCATCCCAATATGATGTGTGAAGTCGAAATTCAGCCCGAAATCCAGGAATGCGTTGAAATTGAAACAATTCCCGTAGATATTGGCGATAACGTGGAAACCATAGTAGAATATGGCGAACCAATGATGAATCCACAAGGCCTAGAGGCCCGAGAACTGATTTTAGAAACACACGAAGAAATTATTGACGATTCGGGGGACCCTTTGAATTTGTACGATGTGCCAGTGCCAGATCAAGGTGATATGTACGTTGAGACTACTGCTGGCCCCTCAAGAAAGCGGAAACACATTAAAAACCGTGGAATTCTCCGACGTGAAAACGAGTTCTTGCTTAGTGATATGCACGTCGAATCCAAGCCCAGGAAATGGGAACAAAAACAAGTGCAAATCAAGACAATGGAAGGAGAATTCTCCGTTACCATGTGGGCATCGGGGGCTAGTGACGGTAGGTTAGCAATAGGGAAACAATTTCTGGAAACTTGCCTTTACTCGGTTCATGGAAATGTCTGTCCAATCAGCACATTCATTGGCATGACTTCGAGGGTCGTTGCTAACAAACATCACCACGGCTCTTAGGAGTCGTACGTTTGGCGGAAAGTTACATGTTGCCAGAAAATGTGTGGGAAACTGCCGTTTGTTTTGACTATGAGCGGCCATACTAGCTTTTCTGCCATGTTTTAAATGGCCGCATGATTTTCAATGGAGGAATATCATGGCGGTCCCCGCCTTCAATTTGAAATTTTTCAAGTACTTTAATAATTCTGCATCTGTTTGAATTGCTTTCATAAATTTGTCTAAATTACTTCAATAATCACCAACTATTAAAATGCATTTTAGTCCTGATTATATTTTCGTCGTATATTCAAATACAGCTAGGTTCACCTTTACATACAATTAAGTATTTATAGAATACTTCAAACATGCCTCGTTTCGGCGCTGTTATCGCCATGTCATAATATATTCAGAATTATCTGTCTTTGTCATGTCTATTACATATAATGAGACGGAATTCTTAAATATTGAAACTTTATTTTCGTTCATAAACTAGCCTGGGCATTATAAATGCCGATAAAATATTTAAATGTGTTTTATGCGCTGCTCTATAAATATTTAAATGTTTTTTTTACTACTAACCTGGGAAGTCATCAATATTTACTCCATTTCCCTAGTGAGAAGTTATATTTCTTTCCCTAGGTCAATAATAATAATAAAAAAGTCCCTATGTTTACTTTTTTTATTATTTTTAGTTTGCCCACATCTCTAAGTTCAAGAAGATTCCATCCATTTTCACTTCTAAAATCACTGTAACTCTAATATTCACTAATTTTTCGCTTTTCCCAGTAGTTTTCCATAGAAACTTTATCTATTGCGCACATGTGCGTAAAAGTAAAACAAATGAACAGTAGACAAAAGGGCTTTAAAATATTGCGACACTTAAAAAATTAATGGGAAATTAAAAATGCAATTAAATCAATTTAGGTAGTTTTCCGTGTTAGTAGGGAAAAAAATCTATATATACCTCGGTCGAGAAGGCTATTAGATAGGAATCAGGTTATAAAAGTGCTGCGGTATATAATAGCTCACTTCACGACGTAGGTATATAATGTATTATTATCAAAACTTTTAGGCAAAGTAATTTGTTATACTATTTGGTTCTTAAGAATAAAACCAAGATCGCATTTAGTTTTATATATCGTTGATTTTATTGCTGCTCATAGGTTGTTAGATTCATGCAAATCATGTTTTTGAAAAAGGTAATAACGGGTTAAACTTTTTAAACAAACTCAAATATAAATTTCTGATTTTAAAAATATTAAATTTAAAGGAATCCAATGATGGTCCAGGTGGAAAACGTTGTTGAAGTTCCAACTTTAAGAAAATATTAAATTGCAACACGGAAACATACAGTTTGTGGGTTGAAAACTGTGGGTTTTTTGCTATATGCGGTAAAACGTTGCGGGTTTGATACTTCCATCGCGAACGAAATTATAACCATAGAAAAACACGGTTTCTTGTGGATTCTAGCACGTTTTTAGTACAGTGGCTGTTCCTGAAATTAATGCTAATTTCATTGCTAGTTATTTATACAATTAGTTCTCGCAGTAAAGATTTGGATTCTTGGAGTTTTAATAGTCATGGATATTATTTGTTTTTGTTTGCTTTCTGCTTTCTAAAATAATAAACAGATATATTTAACAACTTTCTAAATTAATAAACAGATATAACAACATGTTACACACGGTATATAGAATCAGACCGTATATATACAGACTAGGCCATATATATACGGCCTAATACAGCAGACCGTATGCAAAAAGACATGTCATTTAATATACAGACTAGACCGTTTGTTCAAGCGCAATGATGTTTTATGTGCAAAAATGCGCAACTGCAAAAATTGTTGTAAAAAAATACGATATATTTCAGATATAAAATTACAAAAGTAAATCAGATGTAGTCATTAATAATATAAGCTCAAATTTTAAAATATATGTTTTCCGACATTGCATCGATGAGTGCATTCCATATCTAATTTTTTGTCGCCTTTTTCCACATGGCTACCGTCGCCCTTACAGTCTACCTATGAATGTCCCGGATTTTCAATGGATTTGAAGTGCTTTTCAGCGAAATTTTTGAACAAACTCTTTTCTTACACTTAATATTAAGGGTACTTCAAGCTAGAGCCAAACTAAATGCCAAACTAAAACTGCATAAAGTCTGAATTAACCGGGGTTTAGTCCGTTTACATATGGACTAGTCGAAGTTGGACCGTATAAAAACAGTCTAGTCATTTTACAAACCGACTAGTCCGTTTCTTGAAGGACAAATTTTTTATACATGTAGACTGAAATCTTCAGTCCGTTTATATACGGACTAGTCATTTTATATATACTGCCACATTTATATTGCTGGTTTTACATATACGGTCTGTAACATATACATGCCTGTGAAAAATCAGAAAAAAATGCAGCATAAGAATTTTTCCGGCTATAAGATTGCATCTTAAACACAAACAAACATTAACCAGAAAAAATTAACTAAAAAAAGTAAACGACTTTTTATGAGGTTAGGCGTCGCTAATCGAGCAAGGCCAGTCGGTTAAAAATCAAGTATGTGCATAGCGGCAACATAGCAGTGAGACGCGCAAGCGCAATCAGTCAGGACTGGTGTGGACGGTTAAGAAAAATATCTGCCACCGCATCACTTTTTGACATAACCTCAAATTAATCGTCAAAATGGCCAAAACCCAATTTTTTTGCATTTAATATTTTTGTCGCGCATAAATGATTTCATTTACATGAAGATCTGTAAAATTATGTCTTCTTTGGTGTTGAATAAGCATGATTTTTTCGCAGTTCACAAGGCGACTAGTTTTCGAGGTATGTACAGGGTGGGCCAAATTGGACTCTTTTAAATGGAAATTCCTATTTCTAAACAGATAGACAAAAATAAATGTAATGCTGATTAAAAAATGCAGTCGCGTACCATTTTTCTCCCTATCAATTTCGGTAGCGTGCAGGTACTCACGCCACTGCGAAAATTTAACTAACTTGTTTCATTGCAAAACGTGCATTTTTCCTAGCCATTGACCTCTGGAAAAAACCTCTTTTGAAGAAATTTTTTGTTTTGAATTTTTTAAATTAAATTTCAACTCCCTGTAAACGAAGCATTTTTGAGCTATCATTCATATTGCAAACTAGTGTTATTTTCGAACGTAGAATAAGTGGTTAAAATAATACCCCTTCCTCATGAAACACCTTGTATATTTTACTTCATGTAGTTAAGAGATTGGCTTTTTTGTAGCACTCTGATCATTGTTTCGGCTAAAACAACTCCAAATTGCTATTGTAGATGAGGGTTCGAACCCAGAACCCGACCCCGACTATACTGAATACATGACTGGCAAGAAGCTAACACAAGAAGGAATGCCTGGACTAGATCTCTCCGATCCTAAGCAACTTGCAGAATTTGCAAGACCTGGATTAAAGAGTCCACGAGTGCGTCGGCCAAACCAAGACTTATCAGAAAGGACTATTGGTAAGAGAAGCAAGTAGAAAATTTCAACGGACTGGTTAAGGTATCCCTAATGCAATTTTTTTAGCTTGTCCGCATAAAGGCTGTAACAAAATGTTTAGAGATAATTCGGCAATGAGGAAACATTTACATACACATGGGCCGAGAGTGCATGTATGTGCAGAATGTGGGAAAGCTTTCGTAGAAAGTAGTAAATTGAAACGGCACCAGGTAAGCGTTCAGTTAAGAACTTATTATGAAAATGGCATATTTGAGGTGGGAAAATACAATCGAACAATTTAATATTTTTCTACGCACTTAAAATTTCTACGCATTTTCATAGAAAATGATGTTCGGATATACTTAACCTGAATGATGCATAAAACAGGTCTGCTATGGCAGTTCACTATAAGTAAAAAACTTATTAATAAACGCGATAATAAATGTTTTGTCGATACCCGCACATATACAAAGTATCCCGAAATGATCTGTACAAAATGCAACTGCTGATTTTACTTCATAGCTTCTGAAATTTTGTTCACATCTGGATTCAGCTCAATATTGCACCTCCAGGAGCTCCAAATAGTCCAATTCTTAGTATTGGTAGTAACATGGTTGGTAAATTATTAGATTCAATACGAAAATATCAACATCACAAGTTTTTTTTTTATAATTGGTTTACTAGAATTTTATTGTCTAATTCGAAACGTTATATTTATTAAAATTTTGTCTGTAATGGAAAGTTATTTGCAAGAAACGATTTTTTAATAATTTATTATTTAAATCAATGTTCAATTGCAATCAGAAAGGTCTTTAATTCGTAATATCCCAGCAAAATAATCATGAAAGGAATAGAGAATGAATTCGATTCGTTTTGAAGTGACAAAATGTATACAAAATAAATAGCGGAATTGTAGCTTTACTTGTGGCTTTCCTTGAACCCGTGCAGGTTTGGAGTTTGCTAACCTAAGGTGCCTTTACACTTACGATACGATACTGAGAAAGTATCGATACTTACTCAAATGCGTTACTACTACTGGTTACTTCTAATTTGGTTACCACCAAATCACCTTGCGATACTACTCATAAGTATTCTGAAAGTATCGATACTTACTCAAATGAGAGGTAACCAAATGTAGAGTAGAAACCATTACCTGCACACAATTTTATTGAGTGACACTACGTATAATTGTCATAAACACATTTTAAGTATACATTTTCGATGAGTTTTTCAACACCGAAATTCACTATTACCATGAATTTTAACTGTAAAAAAGCCGTTTAAAGACGGGATTATAATGAAATTCATGGAATATATTTTAATGCATTTATTGCCATAAGGTAAACAAAAAAATATTATTTCTGAAGGTTTCCCAACAAAACCAGTTGCTGCAAATATTTAGTGGACAAGCTTTTTCTATTGTGCGTCACCAGCTTTAGGAAATAAACATTTACTTACAAAAGTTAGGAAATACCGTTTGTACGTCTCTCAATGGGTCACTTTTCAAAGATATTATTCAGTTCCATATTGTTTTGACATCGTCATTAAGTTTTAAAACTGACTGTTCAGAACCATTAATACGTATCTTTTTTATTCAACGCACAATTTTACAAACCTTAGATATAGCTGTTTTCACACTTGGTCATTTTAAAGCCTCTTCAACAATGTTATTTATTGTGTGAGCCAAAGAGGGCAAACATTTCATTGAGCGTACAAGTAGCCAGATATATCATATGCATTTTACTATTTTGAAGAAAATTCCATGACGTTCATTGTTTCTGTCCAATCTGAGACAAATATAATCTTTGACAATTTAGCTTTAGCTATAGCTACACAAGCTTATTAGCTATATTAGGTTGAAGCACTTTCGGAAGACGTAAAAATCCTTCTCCTTCCACAATGTTGGAAGGCCGCAAATAATTGCAGACAAAAAACTAAAGCCTGCACTATTTTGTTATATTTTCAACCTCCCTCCAAAATACATATATCTATTATATTCAATAAAGAAAAAGTATTAGAAATAATGTATTTTTTTTTATTGGTCGAAACTTGTAAAAATGCGTCTTCTAAAGTGCTTTGTGGAGGTATGTTATTATCAGTACTAGCATCAAAAAAACTTTTTTCTTCCAACATGTTTTCTAATTGAGAACAGCTAGATGTTCATGGCTGCGACAGATCCAACTTAAGTTCTTCAATAGACTTTGTGCAGTGTTTACACTTTTAACAATCCGATTCGATACGAGTACTTTATTTCGATACCAAGTATTTGGATCAAAAGAACGATTTAATTATCAAAGTACGAAATCAAAAGTATGGAATACCTACTTGTATTTACTTGCATCGAATCATCCCTATCTAAGAGGCGGCACTTCACGTAAGGGTGTCGCATATTGTGCGCGACTGCACCGGGACAGTCCAATAGCACGCGATACGAGCGTAAGTGTAAAGGCACCTATAGGGTTTTATTGAATCTGGGAAATATTTTTCTGCGGTTGACGGTCTTAATAGAGATGCGTGAGAACCTGTGTCTATTAATAATTTGATATTGTAATTTGGAATTTCTATGTAAGGAAGTTGATTAATTTAGAAACTTTAAGTTTGACAATGATTTTGTTGTTCCGAGGCTCGTTTCCGAAACTTTTCTAATGAATCGTTATTATGTTTTCTTCAGGAGATAATGTTTCACTGACATTTTCTGATTCGGGGTAATCATTTTCTTCGTAATACTCTTCTTGATTTTCATATTCCGATTCATCATTGTCCTTTTCTAAATGAGTTAATCCTTGAAAAGCGAAATGCGGGTTTCCTGTGGTTTGGAAGTTATCTTGTCTACCATGATGTTGGAAATTTATTTGAAAGGGTGAATGTTTAATTTGTGAATTCTTAGTGCTTACACCTGACATTGGCTGAATTCTTTAAGTTTTGTATTTGATTAAGCCATCCAGTACGGAGCTATCAATAACTTTTTGAACCAATATTTGACCTTCCTCCACTACTTTATTTGACTAACTAGAACAATAATACTCCCACAAAAAATAAGTGAAAATTTCTCAAGAATAGAATGAAAGTATTTCCAACCTTCTTTAGCCTGTCCTAACCTGCTAAAAATCGATATTTAAAATTTACTGTTGCAATTTCGCCCTCGAGCGACAATTTTGCGAACTTAAAAGTATTTTTTTTTGCTTCAAATCGATACGACTAAGGGTTTGTGAGATACGGCCGACCACCTCTGTTAGTGGCCCACACTGTAGCGTATTGTTCGATAGCAGTGTTTCATTCATTTGTTTCATAATTATGGGATAATGTACTAAACAAACTACACACATTTGTAATGATAAGTTACAGAACAGACAGTTAAAATTTTAACAGATCTTTGGAAAATATAGTCAAATGTAGGTATTCATTTTTATCATTAACAATTTTTTTGTCAAATGAACTTTCACTACTTGGCTCATATCGTATCTAAGGTTTCCAAAACACTTCTTGGAATATGTCAACGCATGTCCCCGAAATTCCGATTTCTTTTGTCTTGGGAGATCGCGTGTGGTGTCTATTAAACGTCCTAACAATGGATTGCATAATTTCACGCTGATGAGATTTATAGATATAAATATCATCACCGTGTGTAACACACTAGAGAATAGACCGAACCTGTCGAAATGTGACTTTGCCTGTTGGTTGACCTTGCGTCTTACAGAAATTCCTAAAAAAACCAGACCAGAAACAGATAAATTGTGTCAAACACCATACGATTTGCAGGGAATTGGATTTCGATCACTAAAATTCTATTTATATACGTTATATTGGCATCGTCATAATAAAAAGCTTAGGGTCAAACAGTCAGTACATGATGCATCTTGAATCTGAACGATGCATTTTAAGTCGCTGCATTACTTTTTTATGATTATAGTGCAGTACTAAATTAGTTCTTCCTAACTAGAAACCTGTATTTACAAAAGAATATAAGTTTGTAATTTGTTACTGTCCTACACTGCACTAGCGCGCACTATTCAATGAATGAATTCATTTTGATTTTGATAGTTGCAATCATTTGTTTAGTAATTATTCGATAGGGGCCATAACTAGTCGGCACGCTGGCCATTTTTTAAGTATATAAGGAATTTTTAATCCAGTCCCAAACGCGCTTTTAGACATTCTTATTTATGGCTTTATGGTATATTTTCTTAATTTTCTATAACAATAAACAAATTTGCAGATTGATAAACTCTTCTAGGCCTAGTAATAATATGTAAACATGTCTTTTGGTAACTCCAGGCTTTTGACCACATTTTACAAGTGGAAATTCGAATGTAAATATTTGAAGACGATTATTAAGATTGACACGATGCAATGGCATGAAAAATTGATAATTTTTTTAAAATAGAAGAGCGGAAGTAACAAAGGGAACAAGTGGTTGTCTTTATGTCTTTACGAAAGCGGTATGTGCTAATCCTCATGCTAATCTTTATATCTGAAATCAAAGTAGTAGTACCGCTAAGTGCCTAACTTGTTTGCTTGCACATTTTTCTAATTATCTTGAAACATACACTTTGGCACTTGCCCCCTTTGTTATTTCCACTCTTCGATCACAAAATCGTTGTAAACAGAACAAATAAGCCCGTTTTGGTTAGCCAAATACCAAATATACGATGACAAGTGGCAGCACAATTATTGAATATACATTTTTTTTAATGGGTAAAGGCACCAATATTAAAGAGTAATTAGTCTCTGCCAATACTATAAAAATAAATAAGTAAATAACATTCAAAGTAAGGTTATCGTAGTTCCGTTGTTGGCACATGGCCAGCCAATTACAAGGATCCATTGTCGGTCTATTCTGTAACGCTGAGGAAAGTACAATACGCCACCCTGGACAGTGAAATGTCAAACAGAAAATGGACAAGAATTTGTAATACGCTCCATTAGTCTGACGTCGACGATGCACGCGCCGAAAGACTGTATCCACACAAACTAATTGTCGTATCTTATTAGCATTGGACCTGGTTTCATTCTGTATTTTTCTAGAAATCTGCAGGTTCTAAGCATTAATATTAGAAAAAAAGGAAGTACCGCTATTGTTAGCAACTATTTTGTTTACTACATTAGATACATCGTTCTTACTTTTTCATAAATTAAACATTTTTCAACATGCAGATTATGTTTTCTAACAGCTGATTGCTAATGATAAGTTAACATTTTAAGTGTCTGCAGGTCACGTCGTACGATTTTCTACTGTCGCGGATTGCTTTAAATAAGACTGTGTATAGTTAAAGAGGGGTGAAAACTTTTAAGAGAGTGGCAATGACATTGAGCTAGTGTTCGCTAGCGAATACTCTCCTGCTTGACTTAAAGATGTGAGAGCCAGTATGAAAAAGAAAAATTACTGTGTATTACTGTAATTCAGTATATTTTTGACTGCGAAACATTAAAACTATCAGCTAAAGTTTCATGAGAGTTATGAGTAACTGATCTTGCTTACTAAGTTTTTCAACTTGCCAGTCATAATAACAAACTACTTATATCTTTGAGTAATGCAAACAAACATTTAAATATTGCATAAGTAGAAAAATACATAAATACTAAGATGCCATTTCCTTTTATACTCTCAACTTAAAAACGTTCAGAAAAATTGTGAAGTTCCATTAACACTTCCTGTAGTTGTAGGTGAAAATCATTTTCAGCATAAATKCGTGTTGTAGACATAAAGGTTTCAGGAATACCTTGAGTCGAAGTCGAAGGTAATTCGAAAATTATATATATGTGCATGTCGATTATGTATAAAWKACAGAAATATGTAGTTACTTTGTTCTCAAATGGTCGCTTGGTGCTTCTGCTACGGCAGATATTTTCCTTCTGCTCATTTTTTTCGAGACTCTTTAACGGGATACTTTAACTATTCTGCGACAAGGTACTGACATACGTCCAAGACATACAAAGGCACCAGGATCTAAAGAGTTCTCCTATAAATCATTTTCGAGTATAACATACGGTTTACAACTAACAATATAAGATTTACTAACCGTACCAACTTTATCCATCGATTTCGTGTGGGTGAGGTTTTGGAAACCGGAAAAACGAACATTTTCACGACCATCACAATTTTTATATTCAGGAGCCCAACACATAACCATTATTCTATAACATTTAAATACAAATAACAGGTTTTAACACAGTTGTTAATACGAAACCAGATAATCAGCACACTTTGGAAACTTCGTATCTAACTCCAATGCAAATTTGCTTTGCTTAGATACAGTCCCTGAATATGTCTAATTAGTGACGTCACCACTTATGGAGCGTATTGTAGCTATTTATATCTCACTTAACAAAAGTATAAAGAACATTGTCGCATTCATGCACGAAAATTTATTAGTCTCTACCAAAGCAAGATCGGGTCTTTTCAGTCGGAACCCTCATAAATGTATGAGGCATGTAAGCAAAAAATTACCTATCATTTTGAGTGCTGATTTGAATGTTGATTTTTAAAAGTCGAAACCTTTAGTTGATTTTATAAAATCGACATACATTTTGAATATATCGAATGATCCAAATGAGAGTAGGTACAGCAATAGCATGTTGTAGATGTTATTTTACTTTGTGAAAATCCAAAAATATATATTTATTTCATAATATTAATTATTACAGCCTTGCCCCGCTTGTTCAAGATTTCACTTCTATTATGTGGTCTTAAGCACAAACAAGTTTTTTTTCTAACAACTAACTCTTAAACTCTTAAATTATGGAAAACAAACTGCACAACTTGTGTTTTAAATGAGTATAATGTTCTTTCTTTTTCCATTAGTTAGTTCACACTGGCGAAAAACCATTCCAATGTACATTTGAAGGCTGTGGGAAAAGATTTAGTCTGGATTTTAATTTAAGGTGAGTCATAGTAAAGTGAATATAATTGTGGGAACTTTTGATGAGCAAACTTTTTTCAGAACTCACGTAAGGATACATACTGGTGATCGACCGTATGTGTGTCCATTCGATGGTTGCAACAAAAAATTTGCTCAGTCTACGAATCTCAAAAGTCATATTTTAACACATGCGAAAGCTAAGTGAGTATTTTCTATCATTTACTTGTTATACCTAACGTAATTAAAATTAATAAACTCGAGCCAATATGAATCCATAATTTCAGATCAAGAAACACGGTGCTTGGCAGACCCCCAAATAACATACAAATGATGCCATCTCCTTTTCTCCAAGTTGAAGTTGCGGATCCGGAGTATATTGTATACACTGATTAAGTCGAACATCTGAAGAGTTGAATGGTGTTTCCGTTACATTTCAAATTAATTTAAGGTAACAAAATTTTGGAAAAGTCTACCTTGTAAAACCAAATATACTTTTAGTTTCGTTTAATAAGATTGTTTTATGATCAATATGAGTTATTATCTGTATCAAATCAAATTTGAAAATTGAACAGTTTGAGGTCATTGGGGACAAGCGATCTAAAATATTCTCAAGAGGGCCACACTTCCGGTCGGTCATACCGGAAGTAAGTGCTTGCTAATTTTAAATGGAACATCCTATACCTCAGTCTAACCGTTTTTGATATACAGTGAAAGCTCCGATAAGCGGATAGTCAAGCGGAGTCACTGTTCCACAAAAAATGTCCGGTTATGGGAGGTGTCCCCATAATAGAGATATTTAATTAAAAATAAATATTTACTTTCAGCTTCTTCATTGTCTACATGTTTTATAACATCTTTCAACGTAGAAACATAGAAACTTATCGGGCCGGTTTATTTACATATTCTATTATACTAGTTTGGCGCGTTTTTTGAAATTTTTGATGAATAATGCAATGCTGGAAATGGGTTTCAAGGTTATTAAAATCTTGAAACGCAATAAAATCATCGCTTGAAAATATTTTTCAAGGGAAAGTTGCATTTAAGATATCATACGATTTATGAGTGAGGCATCAGGAAAGTTCAATGTTGGAAAGGGCGGTGGTATCGGGATGAAACGTTTCCTCTTCAGTCTGCACCATATGGTCAATGTTTACAAATCCTTGTGCTTGCTGATCACTTGCACCTAAGGATTTTGCATGACGCATTGACCCAGCTAATAATGACAAAGGCAGCTCATCTTCTGGATTAGAATATTGTGGAATTTCTCCTTCTGTCTTCTTGAATCCAGCTTTTATAAAGCAATTCTTGACTGTTGCAGAATTTACTTTATTCCATGCAGTCTTTATGAAATATAAAGCCTCTAATACATTAATGGACTTCGACAGCTCATGTTTTAGAATAAGACCTCTATAAAAAATTTGAAGTTCTTAATGATGCCTTGGTCCAAGGGCTGACATATAGAAGTGGTGTTTGGGGGCAAAAATATAACTTTGACATTTTTCAGTGTCACCTCACGAGGATGGCATCCTGCGTTATCTAGAAATAAGAGCACTCTCCTTTTCTGAATCCCCATTTTTATATCGAACTGAAACGACTATCTTGACATAATATCTTGAGTCATCCACGCTTTCTTGTTTGATTTCCAAACTGCTGGCAAATCTTGGATGGCAATATTTTTCAAAGCACGAGAGCGAGCTGATTTTCCTATGATTAATAAATCCTCCTTTTCACCAGCCATCGATGCACAAAACAAAATAGTGAGTCTTTCTTTAGAGAACTTACCGCCGGTGCATTTCTCAGATTTCAATGTTTTGTCTGCTAATGTACGTAGGAAAAGTCCAGTCTCATCTGCGTTGAAAACGTCCTCCGGCTTGTATCCAAGCAACATCCAATATCCTTGAACAGCTTGAGTTTGTCTACAAACCAGACAAACTCAAGCTTTTCAAGAAGGCAAAGACCTAAAAGGACGTTTAATTTTTACTAGTTTGTGTACGAGTTTGTGTAAAATTTTAAATCTGATGATGGCGCTATTGTCTCGCCGAAACGTAATGAAATAAACGATGTTTCAAAATTTTGACTTCACACTTTGACTGAAACCCAAGAGAGATAGGAATATCATAGCATTTACTATTTCTATTTTTTCTTTTAAGGAAAGCATTTTCTTTTTTGAAGCCATATTCACAAACACTCTCTACATGTGCTCGAAACCTAATGGCACTATTCTTGATGAATGAAGCAAATAAAGTCAAAACATCTAAAACGGGGAATTACGGAAGGAATGTGAAGGAATTCCCCGATTGAAAATCGCTTATTTTTGATGGTTTTATTCGTCGACCGCGTTTTACAGCTTTGTGTCCGCTTTTGGGAGCTTTTCAACTCCGTATGATAATAATAATATCATGTCCGCATCCGTTTAATAGAATGTCCGCTTATAAGAAAGTGTTTTACATTGAAAACCATATGACGAAGTTCCGTTCCAAGAAAAATGTCCGGTTAAGAGAGATGTCCGCTTATTAGAGCTTTCACTGCATATCTAAAGTTTATTATAAAATGTGGATGAAAATTTGTCAATTAGTGTTTCTCTCGATAAATGTAGTTGAGTGTTAATCATTGTTTTGTAAAATGTACTCGGCTTTTTTTGCTTCCAAATAACATAAGAAAAAATTTAAGGGGTTTGGAAATCTTGACAGAATTTTTATAACACACTTTGTCGAAAATATTTTTTTTCGGTTTATCAAAAGAAAAGATAATGTTTATCTTCAGTTAAATAAACCTGAAAGTTTTTAGACAACATGCGCATTTTCACTTGCTATTCATTGTGCGATTTTCGTTGCTATACTAACCGAAAAAACGGCTAGTTGCGAAACGAAATGGAGTGCACTTGGAATCTCTTGCCAATATCTTGAATATTCTGTAACAGTTTTTTTGCTCATAGATACTTGACCCTAGATTATCGCAAACGGCTTGACTTATTTTGCTTCAAAGAAAATGCAAATTTCATTTTGCCAATTTTGCACTTAACTCCACTTACATAAACTTATAGACCTATTTTTTCACGATACGGATAGTAATTCATACTAGTGAAGCACCCTGTATTGTATTATTGAAGTATATCAGGCAAAAAACGCTGATTATTTGATAAGCTATGATATATTTGTTCATTTTTAAGTGGTTCAAAATGTGAGCACGCTTATATGAGATATATGTATAAGCTGCGATGTTACCATGTAACAATTACACGGCCACACAACCAAAACTTTTTTATCTGGAGTTGAGACACATATCCTGTACTATTTTAACCCGCTAAATCCAAATTCGCGGTCAGTTTGGTTGTTGTTTAGGCAGAAAAAATCTATACATCTGTACACTTTGTTCAAAAGAGACGAAATGGACTGGTTAGGTTTAGTTCAGCTCTTCTGGTTATCGAGATATTTGCAGTTTTTTGAAAACCAATATCTATATAAGATTTTATAAAGAATAACGTTTTTCGATACGAAGCTTCCTTTAAGAATCCCAGCAACTTTTTTGGTGAAAAAATTTGATACAAAACATTTTGGTACCGATCAACTGAAATGCTTCTCAAAAATCAGAAAATCATGATTAATGTATTCTAGTTAGATGGAAACATAGCTAATAGAATTGGTTAATGATTTGCGAATGCCATAATGAGAGTTTCCGTTTTTCCGATCCATAAGTCCGATTTTAAATAAGTTCAGTTTCTTGACCGATATCGAATAATTGCAAGATAGTTGATTTTCTTGGGAATTCGGTCTGCGCAGTGGTGAAGAAAAAGAAAAACTTTTTTAGCTACCGAGCTTTTGGCAATTTATTGTTGCCTACCTCAGGGTGCTAATTGTTTGACCATAAGAAGGCCGGGAACTCTCCAGAATATTCTATCATTTTTTGTACAGCTTGATGAAATTTTTAATCTTTTAGTCACATTGTTTGGTCAGCATTTATTTGTCTTGGATTACACAAAACATTTATTCACGATCAACATGTTTTTCTGCAGAAATAACGAGACAGACTACACTAAATACAAATGAATGATCATTATTTTGTATTTAGTACAAATAATTGTAATTTTATTGCAATTTTTCGATTTTAGCCAGACCAGTGAATCGAAAAAATGTTCGATAATTTTCGACTTGTTCATGTTTTTATGTAAACCAAAATTTGGAAAACTGGAAAACGAATAGGTTGACCTTGAAAATTCGAGTTAAAATTGGAAACCGATTTAGTCAAAAATTAAGGTCAAGTTTGGCATTGGATGGGAGTCCTCCCTATGTTACAGTAGTTTATATGTTCTATTATTTATCTTCCTATGTTTATAAGTCACGGATGGTTTACCTCGCTTTAACGTCTCTTTTGAACAAAGCGTATAGAAATGGGCAAGTGCAGATTTCGAAATGCGTCAACCTCAGGCACCCCCAGGACCGGTTTCGAGCCTCAGCTCTCATCAGCTGGGTTCAAGCTGAAATTATCGATTCCGAATCCTGCACTTTATAAATTTAATTATTTTTCAAAAGCTCATGACGACTGCTGATGCCGAAAGCTTTTCATTGTTCAAAGCGGATAGATTTTTTCCGCCTAACTGGTTCTTTCTTAATTAGGCTTCGGAATGGCCTTGGCCCTGACCTGATAAAGTCAAACTGACTGCGGATTTGGATTCAGCAGGTCAAAATACTACATGATATAAGTGTCTCAACACCAGATCAAAAAAACAATTTTTTGGTTGTGTGGCTGTGTTATTAATTAATTAATACTTGTTCATATTATTGCAAGTCAACCTACGACTGAGGAATTCGTATTGTGTTTATTTAAATTTCTTTTTTTATTGTCAAGTATAGATCTACAATTGGTCGGTGAGTGCGGACTGACAAAACATATTTTAATTCTGAAGACGATATAATATTGTTGAGACTAAGTATGCATTATTTTTGCATTCTTAAGTAACCAACGGAGTAGAAATTCTTGAGTATATTTGACAAATGTAAATAAGCTGTAATAAATTGTATATAAAATATATGATTTTTTAGTAAAACTTACTTTTCTTATTGCTTTTGAAGCTCGCCTGAGGCAGGTCACTTCAATCGCGCATCATTTTCTGTTGTAGGGCGATCGTTGCTATTTGATCATAGCCATTAAACTTAAATAATTAAATTTTTACGTCTAATATTATATATTTTAACACAAGGTCTTAAATTCATGTTTTAATAAATTATTGATCGCAGAAAGAAAAAAACTTTGCAAGAAACAACGCTTTTCTCTGATACCAGAAAGACGGATCGCAAAAACTGCAAATCAGCGTTTTTGAAATCAGCACCCACGCTGTAATGGTCGTCATGCCGTCCTCTAGCGGATGTTAGTTCATTTATGAGTAAGTTGCGTTGTGAACAGCAGTAGGTGGCGCTGACCGCAATCAAAATCTTGGTCTGACCTTGATTATTTGAGTGAGGCCCCATATAAGAGGGGCTGCGAGGGTGGTGCATGCGCAGTTCATGGAATAGTATCCTACGCGTATCCGCCCTGTTATTTCAAATCATGATACAATGAATACAAGGTAGGATCTTGCATCGATTTGCGTGACGTCAGTGGAAATCACTGCCTGGCGTGCTTTTTTCCTGTCTGCTAAATGTGATTAAATATAGCTTATTTAGTCTTTGTCACATTTAATTATTTTTTTATAAATCCTCCTTATATTTACAAGATGCTTTGCGGCAGATATTAGACTTGAAAATTAAAAGTAACAAAAATGTATTTATTTTGCACACTACCACAGTTGCCAGTTGTGCAATAAAGTATAGCGTTAGCTGAAAATGTATCCTTGCAGAAATAGTACATTACGATTCACGAGACAGAAGTTCAAACAATGACCCAATGTTACTTCGAATATTCAAAAAGCCAATAATTATGTGTAGTCATAACTCGAATATTCAAATATTCGAATATCCGAATATTCGAATACTCGAATACT